AAGCTAAGGGTAGGTGTACCCATTTTTTCACAGTGAGTCAGGGCAATCTGGGACCAGAACCGGCACTCCTGCTCCTGAATAAAGGACCTGGTTCAGGATGGTATCTACCAGAATACATCTTCCCACTCTCCTTCCTGCTGCCTCCTGGTTCCAGGGTTACTCCCTTTGAAAAAAAAAGTTTTGACCTGCAGCTTGACTTCTCATGCCCACAAGGCTCCCTCGCTATTGTCATCACATACCCTCCAGACAGGATATAGTCTATCAGGTTGGCAGGGGCTGGTGGTCAAGGCCAGATAATCAGCAAGTTATAGAGGGGGAAAATCTGGGGGACTGTAAGACTGGGAGTAGCTACAGAAGGACCAAGCTATAGAGGGCTGAGCCATAGAAGCAGGTTCTGACGGGCTGGTAAGGGCTAGGACTCAAGTGCAGGCACTGGGAGGAAGAGAGAGTGAAGCAGAAGGATGCTCTAATGCCAGGAAGTGACGTTGAGGGAAAGAGGGATGGGGGATGGAGGATGAAGAAGGGATGGAGAGGACAGAGCTGGGCCACATGGATAGCAGAGAGAGCACTAGGGAAGAAATGCTCTGAAAGCCTTTGGCCCTCAGGGTCTCCCTACTCCTAACCCTTGCAGTCCCTGCAGAGGCTAAGAAGAACACAGTAAAATTCTGAAGCCTGCTTCCAGGGTACCTTACTAACATCCCAGCCCGATCCATGGCTCTGGTACTGGTGAGGTAATCCACAGGGCAGCAAAGGCACTCTAGTCCCCAAGGACTTTGAGAGGTCATTCAGTTCATCCCCCTGTCTCCCAATACCCAGCAAATACAGAAGGAATCATATTCTCTTTACCCCTCTCTGGACATGGAGAGATTCTCAGCTTCTTCCCATGGTCTCTCCTTCCCACAGCCCCTAACTGTGGGGAAGTTCTTCTCAAGACCTAGCCTCTATTAATCCTGCTGCAACCTCTGACTTGATTTCTCCTATCCTGTTCTCTGTGACTAGAGAAAAGCCTCTTGTGGGTGATCACAGCTATTCCTCAGGATCTCCCCTCCAACACTCCTTATTAGTTGGTTCTTTCCAAAAGGTAACCCCCATCCCTCCTACTGCAGTCTCTGGCATCATTCTTCCTTGTCGCATCCTAGGACTCCAAGGCAGGAATGCATTCCCAACCCCTGCATTCTCAGATAATCAACAGAGAAAGGGGAAAAGAGAAAGGTTCAGGAGGAAGGAAATGAATTAAGGAGATGGAGGCTAGAGGTAATGCTCCGCGTAGATGGAGGACCAGGGACGTCCCAGGGGGCAGGAACGGGGTCAGCAGGACTCACCTGTATCGGGGTCTCCCAGGAAGGCGTCCTCGTCCTTGCGGCCCCTCAAAGGGACCGCGGGCGCGGGTTCGTCCTCTGGCAGCCGGGGGAAGCTGGTGATGCTCATGTAGTCCACGGGCGAGTAGGCGCCCAGGGAGCTCTCCTGACTGGCCTGGTTCTCCGCCGCCATCCTCGCCCGCGCCCCCCCAGCAGCGCAGCGCCTGCCGGAAGTGGTGCGGCGGGGGCCCGGGTAGGGCGGGGCCTGATCTCCGGGCCGCCGGGAGGGGGCGCCTCACCCCCACCCTAACGTCTGTCAGGGTCGGACTCGCTTCCTCCTGCTTAGTGCTGTCAGCCTGCAGTGGGTGCGCAGGTGGGGATGGGGTTATAGATGCAGAGGCAGGAGGGCAAGACCGGGTTGCGAAGTCTGGGAATGGGGGGGGGGGCGGGGGGGGAAGAGCACACTACTAGCGTCACCTTAGTAGTTCGGGACACCTTATGCAGCCCAGGGGCCAAATTCCTTCTTCCAGTGTCAGCTAGAATCCTCCTCAGACCTCAGATTCCTCCCTCCGCCCACAGACTCTTCTACAGACTGCAAACCTCTTCGTGACTCCAGATACCCCTCAGATCCCAAACTCCCGCTCAGGCCCCAGACGTCTTCTTGAATTCCAAGATCCTCCTATCTCAGACTCCTGCGACCCCAGATTCCTCTTTCAACCTCAGACTCTGCCTTCACCCCTCAACCCCCAACTCCTCCCCACTCCTGCTTCATCATCAGACTGCTTCTTCACCTGGAGATCCCTCCTTGGACATCTCAGAAGTCAGATCCCTCAGTGGACCCCTGTTCGTCTCCTCACTTCTGAGAAGTTTGTCACTTCTCAGACTCCTCTTTCAAGCCCAACTCCTGTGACTCTTGACCTAAACTTGAGTGTGTGTTAGGATCCTTAAGAGCAGATCCCTAGATCCCACTCTAGAGATCATGATTTAGTATGCTGGGGTGCGGTCTCTGGAACCTGAATATTTACCATCATTTTAAGAGTTTTTTATGTGGTTCTAGAAAGGATGCTTTAAGAAAGAAAAAATGGGCAGGGTGGTATGGCAGGAATGGGGTGGGGTGGGAAGAGTGGGGAGTGGGTTCCTGCAGTTTAGGTGTCTGTGTTCTATTTCCTGTGTACCACTTACAAACCGTGTGATCTTGGGCATGACACTCAATCTCCTTGAGTATATCAGTTTCCTCATCTGAAAACTGGAGAGAATAATAGTATCCATCTCAGGAGGTTGTTGTGAGGATTAAATAACATGTAGAAAACTCTTAATATAGGTCTCAGCCCTACTTAATAAGTGCCATTATTATCATTATTTGCATATCCTTAATCTCGTGGATTCTCATTTCATCCAACCCTATCCATCTTCCCATTCTTGGGAATTCCAACTATGCTATAGACTGTACTACTTCCCCATCTCCAAAGGTGATGGATTCAGTCTTTTTGTTTTTAAGATTATGTATGCATGCATTTTTAGAGAGAGGGGAAGTGTGAGAGAAAGAGAGGGAGAAAAGCATCTGTCAGTTGTCTCTCACGCACCCCAACCAGGGACCTGGCCCGAAACCCAGGCACGTCCTGGGCGTGTACCCTGATCAACAGGCAACCTTTTGGTTTGCGGGATGACGCCCAATCCATTGAGCTACACCAGTGAGAGCAACGAGTTCAGTCTTTATAAAGCCTCTTGTCCAAACTTTCTTTGTACACTTCACAGGCAGAGGGAGAGGGCTGGTCAAGCCCCTGGTACATCCCCTCTTCCAACCCCAGGAGAGTTTGAAAATCTGCTACGGGGTCCAGATCATGCAGTGCCACCTGTTGACAGGAGGGGGCAGCAGTGTGTTGGAAACAGCTCAAGCATTTGGGAGAAGAGAGTTGCGGAAAAGAGAGAGGAAGAGGACTGCCCAGAGCTGTGTGTCTAGGATGGGTAGATGACTACCGATACCTGGGACTGTGTGCCCATTGCTTGTGCCTTCCTCCCTACAGAGAGGCTAGCATTTTCTCAGTGAGATCCGCTGGGTTTATTATGCTTCAGTGAAATATGATCCCCCCAAAAGGGCCTATCCCTACTAAATGAGGTCTTATCTCTTTCATTGGTGTCCCTTCTCCTCAGTGGGGTTTGAGTCTTCTCAGTGGTGTCAATATCTCTTTAGTAAAGTCTATATCTTCTGTACTTCCTAGAGGGAAGTCCATTTCCCCTCAGTAGGGTCAGTGACCTTCAATGCCATTCATGTCCTATTATGAGGGTCCACAGAACTTCAGTGACATATGAGACCCCTCAGTAAGGACTGTGCTCCCTTAGTGGAGTCCATGTTCCTTCAGTGAAGTGTGTGCCCATTTGGTGTAGTTAATGTCTCCTCATTGAAGTTTCTGTCTCCTCTCTGGGGTCCATGTTCACTCCATGAGGTCTGAGACCCTACCCTCAGAATTGAGTAGGCTCTGATCATAGATTCCACCATGGAAATTTTTTTTTTTTTCAGTTTAGGGTGTGCTGGGCTTGTGGTTAGCTGTGCAAAGAGGAAAGGTGCAGGTGAGAAGGGAGGCTGGGCTTGATGTGGTCACAAGCCCTGTGCAGGCTTCAGGAGATAGGGCGTATCTGCTCTGGGCCTCAGAATCACTCCTGGAGTTAAATAATTAAGGTTTCTTCTTGCATTGACAGCCATTCTTTGAACTGACGGGTAGGGTTGGCCTTTCTTGGTGGTGAGTGCAGGTGGGGGATGGAAGGTCCTGCCTGGCCCCTCCTTTCTGGATTGGAAGGACAGAGGAAAGTCAGAAGTAACTGAACCCAAGCGTGGCAGATGGGAGTGGTTTCTTTGTAAAGTAAAGAGACTGGGAAGGAAGGAAGGGTATGAGTGCTTCCTCCTAGTTGCACAGATATTGGTACAGTGTTTCATAAGCCTTAGCTTCAGCCTGATGAGGGGGGTAAAAAGACTTGGAGTTGGGAGACTTAGGCTTGGCCTTGACTTGGTCGTTGTTTGCTTAGTGACCTTGCACAATTTTCCTCTTTTCCCTGTGCAATAGGAGGCAGCTTTATTAGCAAAGGCTTGAATACACCTCCTACTCTTCAATGAATCTTTTAGAGCTGGATGGAAATTTGAGGAGGCAGGGAGAGTGAAGACATATCCTCAGGGGTGGGAGAAAATCTGAGCTGGCACAAACAAGCACTAAATCTCGTGGGAGGAATTCCTGCCCCCCCACCCCAGGACAGAGGGGAGGAGTTCACTCGGAATGGAGGGATAGTTCTTTGAGGGAAAGGGTCACCAGAAGGCACCCAGAAAGAACTCTACTCTACCTGGCTTTCCAACTCCGTGGGGTGACAGGCTTGTGCAATAAGACCAAGGAGTGGCTCCACGATAGACTTGACTCAACCCTTCTTGTTAGCTAAGTGCTTTCCCGCTCCAACCCGGCCTTAACCCAACCTCTTATTAGTCATTCCAAGACCCCACCCCCACTCCGCTCTCTCGGTGAGTCCGCCTCCTCTCCTGTCACACCCGGCCCTGCCACTTCTACTTTTATTCCAGGGCCCTTCCGCGAATCAGCTCCTCCCCTACCCCCCAAGAAGTACTCGCCTTTTCCCAGTCTGGTCTGACCCTCGGACGGTATGGCTCCGCCCCACCCTCCAGGCCCCACCCCCTCCCTAAGGCCCCACCCACGGCGGCCTGTTTTTTTTTTCTCCCCCAGAACTCCCCAGGCGACCGCAAAGGCGGTTGCAGTGCTCAGACTTGACGTTATGGGGCTTCCAGAGGAGCGGGGCCGGAGCGGCAGTAGCAGTGGGGGCCGGGAGGAGCCTGGGTCGCGGACCGGGGTGCGGAGTTGGTCTCCGCCGCCCGAGATCAGCCGTTCCGCGCACGTCCCCTCGCTGCAGCGCTACCGCGAGCTGCACCGACGCTCTGTGGAGGAGCCGCGAGGTGAGGCCGGGCCCGGGCGTGCCTGCGGACGTCAGTGAGCAGAGGAGTGGGGGCCCCCCAAGGAAGTGAGGAATGGGGGGACATTCCGTGGGGAAAATGGGAGTTCCGTGAGGAGATAGAAGTTTCCTGGGGGTGTTGAGGGTTCCCTTGGGAAGTTGCGGGGTCCCTGAGGAGACAGATGCAGGTTGTGTGAGAGAAGAGTTGCGGAGGAGATGGACGAGGGTGGGGTTCAGGAGGAGATGGAGGTTCTATGCGGAGGGTTCTGGGAGGAGATGAGGGTTCCCTAGGAGATGGGCAGTTCCCGGGCGGCTTCGGGGTTCCGTGAGACGTGGTTTCTGTAAGGGAGTTGGGGGTTCCTGGGAGGAGAGTGAAAGTTTCATGAGAAGAGAAGGAGGATTCCCAGGGTGAAAAGAGGGGTTCCTAGGGGCGAGGGGGCACCCGGAGGACGGGAGGACCCCGAGGGGAACACGCCTTGCCCCCTTCCACACCAACTCAGCCCATGCCCCTGGACACCTTTAACGAGTGAGTGAGTCTCCGTGGTTGAGGGGCAGGCACTTGTCTGGCTCCCACCCTGCGGTTCCCACAATGAGTAATTAAGTCCCAGATCTACTTTTCATATTTTGGACAGATGACAATTACCCAATAGATGACTAAACAAGTCACATTTCAGTTGAGGTTGTTGTCTTCTTAATGCGCTGGAATAGTAATCACTCCGGAATCCTGCTAGGCGGTTCCTTGTCCTTAAGAACGTGTGAGGAACCCTGACTGGTGTGGCTCAGGGGGGTTGTCGTCGGTTCCGCAGACGAACGGTCTCCGCTGCGATCCGCGGTTAGGCCGGGCCGTGTGCCTGGGTTGCAGCCAGGTCCTGGCTGGGGCGCGTGGCAGAGGTGACTGATCAATGTTTCTCTTGCACATCGAGGTTCCTCTCTCTGCCTCTCTTTCTCCCTCCCTTCCCCTCCCTCTAAAAACAAACAAACAAACAAACAAACAAACACCCAAAAGACCCCAAAACCTTCGGGAAAAAGTGTGAAGAAAATTCCCTGCCCTTACCCTTCAGCCTGGGTAAGAGGTCAGAACTGTTGGAAGGCAGCGTGATGTTTGGCAGTGGGACAAGCATGGGCCAGGAATCCAACCCAGAAAAATCTAGATTTAGATTCTGGCTCTACCACTTATTTACTGGGTGGCCTTAGCAGATTTTTAAACTTGTCTGAGATTCCTTTTCCTTATCTGTAAGGTAGGGATAATAATACTTGTCTCGTGGTTTTGTATGATGACAAAAATGGGTAATAAATAAAGTGTGCATTGCAGAGTGTCTGGTGCACAGTGGACATTCAACAGATGATGGTTAGTTTGATAACAATAATGACATGGATGAAATTACTGAGTAACGCAAGACGGGACTGAGTCAAGTGTGAAGCCGTTGACTGCAGCAGGCAGTGACCACGTTTGAGTCCTCAGACTTTTCACTTCTCTTCCTCTCTGTATGTCTCCCATCGGAACTCATCATTTTTCCAGGGGTGGTCTATAACTGTCGCAATAGTAACTCCTACTCTATACATTTAGTTCTGTACCAGGATCTCACTTACGCTCTGGCTCCAAATTTCATAGGTCTGTAGACCATTTTATTCACACACTTTTGTTATACCACATTTAACAGGACTGTGACTGGGATTTACCAATTTTCCCTGCCAAATCCAATCTCCTACCTAATTTTCTAATATCTGTCAATGGCTCTATCCCAAACCGTAAATCTCTCATCATCCTCTCCTCTAATAAGGTTCATCTATATGCTATATTTATTTATAGGTTGCCTACTGCTCACTAACCACAAATCCTGTTTGATTTGATGTAGAAACTATTATCATCCACTTTTACAGAGAAGGAAAATGAAGCTTAGAGAGCTTAACTAACTTGGATAAGGTGAAAAATCTACTTCGCGGTAGAGCTGGGATTTGAACCAAGGTAGTCTTCTATTTTTTTAATTTATTGGGGTAACATTGGTTAATAAAATTATATAGGTTTCAGGTGTAGAACTCTATAATATATCACCTGTATATTGTATTGTGTGTTCACTACCCCAGGTCAAGTCTTCTTTCATCACCATTTATCCTTCCTTTACCCTCATCTCCCTCATCTACCGCCTGCCAACCTCCTTTTCCTCTGGTAATCACCATACTGTTGTCTGTCAATGAGTTTTTTTTTCTTAATCCTTTTACCTTTTTTCACTCAACCCTCCAACTCCCTCCCCTGTGACAGCTGTTAGTCTGTTCTCTGTATGTATGAAACTGTTCTATTTTGTTTGACTGTATATTTTGTTCATTAGATTCCATATATAAGTGAAATCATATGGTACTTGTCTTTCTCTGGCTGGCTAATTTCATTTAGCATAATACTTTCCAGGTCCATCCATGCTGTTACAAAAAAGAAGATTTTCCTTCTTTTTTTATGGCTGAGTAGTATTCTATTGCGTAAATGTACTACAGCTTTTTTATCTACTCATCTACTGATGGGCACTTGGGCTGCTTCCACCTATTGGCTGTCGTAAATAACACTGCAATGAACATAAGGTTACATATATTCTTTCTTTTAAAAATTGTTTCTTTATCTATTGATTTTAAAGAAAGAGAGGAAGTGGGGAGGGGGGAGAGAGAGAAACATCGATTTGTTGTTCCATTTATTTATGCATTCATTGTTTGGTTGTATGTACCCTGACTGGGGATCAAACCCACAACCTTGGTATATCAGGAGGATTCTCTAACCAACTGAGTTACTTGGCCAGGGCTTATATTCTTTCTAATTAGTGTTTCATGTTTCTTCAGCTATATTCCCAGAAGTGGAATTACTGGGTCATAAGGCAGTTCCATTTTTAATGTTCTTGAGATAGTTTCATACTGTTTCCACAGTGGCTGCACCGATCAGCATTCGCATCACTAGTGCACAAGGGGTCTCTTTTCTTCACATTCTTGCCAACACTTGTTGTTTGTGGATTTATTGATGATAGACATTCTGACAAGTATGAGGTAGTAATCTCATTGTGGTTTAACTTGCATTTCTCTGATGATTAGCGACATTCAGCATCTTTCCATATGTCTATTGGCCATCTGTATGTCCTCTTTGGAGAAGTGTCTATTCAGATCCTTTGCCATTTTTTAATTGGATTGTTTGTATTTTTGGTGTTGAGTTGTATAAGTTCTTTATTAACTTTGGATATTAACCCCTTATCACATGTATTATTGGTGAATATGTTCTCCTATGCAAGGGTTGTCTCTTCATTTTGTTGATGGTTCCCTTTGCTGTACAAAAACTTTTCAGTTTGATGTAGTTCCATTTGTTTATTTTTTCTTTTGTTTCTCTTGCCCAAGGAGATAAATCAGAAAAAAATATTGCCCTGAGAACTGTCCAAGATGTTACTGCCTATGTTTTCTTCTAGGATTTTTATTATTTCAAGCCTAACATTTAAGTCTTTAATCCATTTTGAGTTTATTCTTGTGTATGGTGTAAGAAGATGATCTAGTTTCATTTTTTTTTGCATGTATCTGTCCAGTTTTCCCAACACCATCTATTGAATAGACTATCTTCATCCCATTGTATATTCTTGCCTCCTTTGTCAAATATTAACCATAAAGGCATAGATTGATTTCTGGGCTCTCTATTTTGTTCCATTGAGCTATATGTCTGTTTTTATGCCAGTAGCATGCTGTTTTAATTGTTATAGCCTTGTAGTATAGTTTGAAAACAGGTAGCATGATTCCTCCAACTTTATTCTTCTTTCTCAAGATTTCTGTGGTTATTCAGGGTCTTTGCAGTTCTATATAAATTTTTAGAATGTTTGTTCTAGTTCTGTGAAATATGCCATTGGTATCTTGATAGGAATTGTGTTGAATCTAGAGATTGCTTTGGGTAGTATAGACATTTTAATGATGTTAATTCTTCTTATCCATGAACACAGTATATGCTTTCACTTATTTGTGTCTTCTTCAATTTCTTTCTTCAGTGTCTTATAATTTTCTGAGTACAGGTCTTTTACATCCTTGTAAACCAAGGTAGTCTTTATCGAAGAACTTATGCTCCTTAGTAGCAATGCTATTCCTCTTCCCTGACTCCACAGTCGGTCTTTCACCAGATTCTGTTAAATACTATTTCCAAATGTCTCTCAAATTACCTTTATTTTCATTCCCACAAACCCTTTTAGCTCAAGGAAGCAGTGTCCTAACAGGTTCTCTTCCCTAGTCTCACCCACTTTAAATATCTGATATATTTATGTAAACACTATTAGATCAATATTCTGAAAACACTGCTTTCTTATGACACTTGGAAAACTTTCAACAGTTTCCTATTTCCTACAGTTTCAAATTAAAATTCTGCTTTTTTTTTGTAAACACGAGGAATTTTATTTCATTTTTTTGCTGACATACTATGAGGCAAAACAAAATTGACACCATACAAAATAACTTTATAAAATATCATTCACATCACATTTTATCTAAAATTCTGCCTTTTGTTCAAGGTCTCTGGATGTCTAGCCCAACTCCACCTCCTGAACTATATCTCCCACTATCCGCTACCACACCTCTCATTCTAGACAGGTCATTCTCACTGATACACTGAATACACCGAAGTTCCTGTCCCCTCTCCTTGCTTTTGCCCATTTCCTTCTGTTCCTCTAGTCAAAACTCCACCGATTCTACAAAGCATTCCTTGATCATCTGAGTCCATGTTCATCTTTTCCTCTCCTGAACTTCTTCAGTACTCAGAATGTATACCAATGAAACATCCAGACTTCCAGCCTCCCTCAAGAAAAACCCCAAAACAACTGAAAAACAAAACTAAGTGATTGTAAAACTCAGTTTTCTTCACTTCTTGTTGATGGACACAAATATGGCTCATAAAAATAGTTTTACATACTCTATGTATACTATTATCACTGAAAATATTTTTGAGTATATACACATACTCAATGTAGTTGTAACAAATGAACTTCAGAATCAGATCTGGTTTTGCATTCTGGTTTCTAGCTGTTTAGTTCTTGGGAGAGTTTCCTATGTTTCCTGAGATTAAGTTTTCTCATGTATAAAATTGGGATAATTAGTGATTATTTCATAGGGTCATATAAAGATTAAGTGAGATTAGCCTAGTCCCTGGTACATGAATGGCATTTACTAAAATGCTAGTTCTCACTTACTTTCTTGTTAAAGGCCACTTAGTATTGTATTACTATTGTATTACTGATAGTATTAACTAGTTTTCACCAGGTGTTTTTTTTTTTCATTGTTGGCTTTTGGGTTGTTTCCAGTTTCACTAGTATATATAGTTGTCTAAACATCTCTTTGGTAATCACTTTCTTTTCCTTTGGGATTATTTTCTTGGCGTGTGTTCCCCTAAGTTGAGTTAGCAGATGAAAGGGTGTACAAATTTGTATGGCTTTTCTCAGCCATTGCCCTGATATCCACTAAGATAGTGCAAATTTCTTACAGTAACATTATCATAAAATTATCTGTTTTTTAAGGGCATTCAGACATTTGGTTTATTTTTTTAAATCTTTGCTAGTTTTTTTTTTAAGATTTTATTTATTTTTAGAAGGGGGAAGGGAGAGAGAGAGGAAAAGAAACATCAATGTGTGGTTGCTTCTTGTATGCCCCCTACTGGGGACCTGGCCCGCAACCCAGGCATGTACCCTAAATTGGGAATCAAACGCATGACCCTTTGGTTTGCAGGCAGACACTCAATATACTGAGCCACACCAGCCAGGGCTAATCTTTGTTAGTTTTTATAGGTATATAATGGCATTTTGGAATGATTTAATTTGGATTTTTTTAATTGATTGCAAAGGGTACACCATGTGATTTAGCTTTCAATTATATTGGCTTGTATGTTCAAAAGTATTTATGTTTTAGTGTTATCTCTCCAACTACGTTGTATAAGCTAAACCATATAAGGTTGAGCAAGTCACTTTGCCTCTATGAATTTAGTTTGTTATCACTAAAATGAAGGGTGATTATCTCTACAGTTCCTTCCATTGTTATGGTTCTAAGTGTCTTTCTCTCCTCACTCCTGAACCGGTACTGAGAATATCCTAAGTGCTCTGCAATTGCATATTTTACCTGTTGATTACATTTTCTCCAGAGGTTCAGGAAAATATTTTAAGGTTGTGAATCTTATCATGTCTCTCTCCTGCTTAAAGTCCTACAGTGGCTTTCCTTTGCTCTTAGGATGAATACCAAGTTCCTTATTGTGCCCAGAAGTTGCATGATCTGCTCAGTTTATGCATCAATTCTTGCTATTCTTTCTCTTATTTTCAGTGTTTCAGCCTTAAAGAGTTCATTTTAATGTACACCTTTGGTTACTTCCTATTCCGTAGTACTTTCTTTTCTGTTGAGGGAGTAAAGAAAAACTCATATTCATCTTTCAGATTTTAGCAAAAATATCTTCCTCAGGGAAGTTTAAATGTTGGCTTAGTAACTGTATAAACTTTGGCAAGTTATTTAACTTCTGAGCCTTGATTTTCAAATTAATAAAATGAGAATGAAAATAAAGCCTACCTCCTAGGATTGTGGTAAGGACTAAATGAAAAAATACCTGTAAAGGGCTTAAAGCAACATCTGGCACAGAGGAGGTAACACTTGGGCAGGTAGTAGTAGAAGAAAGAGCTGCTCACTAAATAATTGTTGAGAGTGAATGAACAAATTAAGAAAAAGACATGGTCATGGGAGGCTTTATGGGTAAAGGATTTCTACTTTCACTAATTAATTCATTTAAAAATTGCCTATCCTGGCCTTGACTGATGTGGCTCAGTGGGTTGAGCATTGTCCCACAAACTGAAAGGTTGAAGGTTCGATTCCCGATCAGGCACCTGCTTCTGTGTGAGCCAGGCCCCTGGTTGGGGGTGTGCAAGGTCCCTGGTTGGTGGAGTGTGAGAGGTAACCAATTGAAGTTTCTCTCCTTTTCTTTCTCCCTCCCTTCTCTTCTCTATGAAAATAAATAAAATATTTTAAAAGTGCCTACCCTGTACTGGGCATTGTGATAGGCTCTGGGTAACTGCAATTTGAATAGAGGGTAAAAAATGGAGTGGGAAGTTTGAGGAGAGAAGGAAGATATTTGAGCCAAGATTCAGCTCATGAGAACAGGATGTGGACTAGGAGAATGGTGGATGATAAGATTAGACAGGCAGAGGAGAAAACCCAGGTAAGTAGGTCCTAGAGTACAAGGCAGGGAAGTTGTGACTTAATTCTGTGCATAGACTGGTCAGCCATCTGAGGATAAATATGTCTGAGAAGGTTAATGATGTTGGGCTTCCCTTTCTGTTGCAGAGTTCTGGGGAGACATTGCCAAGGAATTTTACTGGAAGACTCCATGTCCTGGCCCATTCCTCAAGTACAACTTTGATGTGACTAAAGGGAAAATATTCACTGAGTGGATGAAAGGGGCAACTACCAACATCTGCTACAACGTATTGGATCGAATTGTCCATGAGAAGAAACTTGGTGATAAAATTGCTTTTTACTGGTAAAAAAATTTATCTTATAGTCTGTGGTAGATAAAAAGTCATCCTTCACATTATATAGTGTTTTGTAGTTCCAAAATGCCATAAAATCCATGAATTCATTACAACAACCTGGTAGAGTAGGCCAAATATAGTTAGTTTAACATCTCAGGTGAGAAAAAAATACCTCAAGGAAGTTAAATGACTTCTATAAAATCCCGTAAATAGCATGTGACAGAACTGATATTCAAAACCAAGTGTTCTTACTTCTAGTCTAGTTTTCTTGGCTTATAGTTGGAGAGGAAAGAGGGGAAAGGGTAAATGGAAGAGAACAGGACTGAGTAGCTTTCTTTCTCATTCTTGCTTTGGGAGAAAAATTGGTACTGGATTTTTCACTACCATCACAACTGTTATTATCATTACCTTTTACTGAACCATATGCCAGACACTTTGCTTACGTTCTTAACAAATATTATCTCATTTGATGCTCCCAACAACCAAGAATGTACTATTTATTTTCCTTATTTTACATATGTAGAAACTTAAATTTTGTGATATTAAGTGACTTATCCAAAGTCATACAGCTAGCAAGAAGTAGGACTAAGATTCAAACCCATGTAGTATAATTCCAGAGCTTACATTCTTTTTTAAAAAAATTTAAAGATTTGATTTACTTATTTTCAGAGAGAGGAAAAGGGAAGGAGAGAGAGAAGGAGAGAAACATCAATGTACAAGAGAAATATCAGTCGGTTGCCTCTTCCACACCCCTAACCTGGGACCTGGCCTGCAACACAGGCATGTGCCCTGATAGGGAATTGAACCCATGATCTTTCAGTTTGCAGGCTGGCACCCAATCCACTGAGCCACATTAGCTGGGGCCAGAGCTTACACTTTTGACTGCGATACTGCTATTCTTCTAATTCTTTACATCAGCCTCTCAACAGCCTTGCAAAATAGGTATTCTTAGCTCCATTTTATAGGTGATGAAATGAATCATAGAATGGTTACACAGTGAATAAGGTCATAAAGTAAGTGATAGAGCCAGGATTGAAAACCAAGTCTGTCTCACTCCTTGCTTGTAAAACTAGGCCATGGTGCCTCCCCAGCAGGAATTTTCTAAGACCCCCTCTTCCTGACAACATAGCTGTACGAGAGGTATTAATATACTGAACCCAAATAGGACCTTGAAGTTTCAGTAACTGGGGTGTTACTTCTGCCACCACCTGTGAGCACTCTGAGAATGATCTATTTTTAAGTGAGCCATTTGGATGAGCAGATTGGATGTTTCATTGAAGAATTAAATGGGTACTTAGTAAAAATTTGACCAGGTTATGTGATATATTGAGAAAAGCCCTAACCTGAGAGATAGGAAATTTAGATTCTTATTCTAACTCTGTCATTCACTTGCTGTGTAACTACAGGCAACTCTCTGAGAGTCAGTTTCCTCTTCCATAAAATAGGGATAATAATTCCACCCTTGTATTTCTCCTTAGATTGTTAATGAGAACCAAATAAGATAATGTGAAAACACTTATTTATTTATTGGAAAACTCTGTACAAATGTGAGTGGGTGTATATTACATTGCCATTGCTCAATTTGGGGTCACTATGCCACTGAAACTCATGGTCTGTATGCCTGTTTAGATATTCTTTAGCTCCTGCCAACATTTGGGCCCACCTCTTAGGTTCCTTAAACATCAGAAAATCTCTAATTATCTGCACAGGACATACTTGTGTGTGAATTTTTCCTCCTGGTTTGAAATAATTCAGGTGCATGGTGAAAGACTGAGAAAACACAGACCAGAGCTGGAGATTGCTCCAAAATCATGAGGCCTTTCTTCCTAGTTTCCCACCATCCATACCTGAACAGGCTCCAGAGAGCCTCTGTTCCCCATTTATAAAATGAGGAGAGTAAACTAGATCTGTGTTTTCCAAAGAATGTTTCAGAAACTACTGACTACTGGAGATATTAGTATAATGTCTTAATTCTTACTTCATGAAACAAATGAGTCTGAGAAACACACATACTAAATTGCCTTTCGTGGGATTCCCAATCTATATTAACATAGTAAACTCTCCAAGAAGTCCTACAGTAAACACATCTGATTGATTTTGCTTAACATGGGACTTCCAAATTTATTTGAATGCCAAACAGATTTTTTGCAGCATGCTATTAACATCATAAGAAGAAATATTCCACCCTGGCTGATGTGGCTCAGTGGACTGAGTGCTGACCTGTGAAGTAAAAGGCTGCCAGTTTGATTTCCAGTTAGGGACATGCTTGGGTTGGGGGCCAGCTCCCCTGTTGGGGGCCTGCAAGAGGCAACTGATTGATGTTTCTCTCATACATCAATGTTTCTCTCCCTGTCTTTCTCCCTTCCTTCCCCTCTCTTTAAAAATAAATAAATAAAATCTTTTTTAAAAAGAAGAAGAAATATTCCATGAAAAACCAATTTGGGAAGTACTAGATTAGGTAATCTCTAAATTTACTTCCAGTGCAAAATTCTGCAACTCCATAATAGGACATCTTCACTCCATTTTTACATTGGTCATTCAACCAACAGGAACTGTTAAAGTCATTGGGTACTTAGACCTATTTTGGTGGATACAGGGTTAGAGGAGTGGGAGACAAGTCCCATATGGGCCATAATCACTCAATACTTCTATGTTTACAGTAAAGCAAAAGCAAACTACAAATAAATCACATTTGTTATAAGAAAGTAAAATACAAATACGCAAGATATGTGGTTATTTCCCCTTGTTACCGCCACATTTTATATAATATGCTTATACTGCTATTTCTTCATCTTATTTTTAGAAAGTATTGACTTCCCATTATGATAGATGAAAATTTAATTCTTGTATACCCTTCCAACTTTTTTCATCTTCCCAATATAACTATAGCTCTGTTTTTAAGTTAATTTAAAATCAGTGTTTACATAAGAGTAACATTATGATTGGATTACCTTTTAATACATATTTTTGTTTTTTTCTGAAGTTAAAAATTGCCTGCCATTTTTCTTGTACAATTTGTTTTTATCATATCTTCAATAGTTTTCAAACTCTCCATCATATCCTTTATATTCTGTGAATTCTTCCTTTTTCCCCAAAGTCCTTTGCCATAGAGCCCACCTTCTTCCTGCTCTAGTTTTTATTAATGTTTTTTAAGCTAGTTACTATGGCTACTTTATTTTATTTTTAATTATATTTTATTAATTATACTATTACAGTTGTCCCAATTTTTCCCCCTTAGCCCTCCCTCCACCCAGCACCCCCATTACTTCAGGCAATCCCCATACCATTGTTCATGTCCATGGGTCATGGGTATAAGTTCTTTGTATACTCCATTTCCTATACTGTATTTTACATCTACATGTCTATTCTGTAACTACCTATTTGTACTTCTTAATCTCCTCCCCTCTTCACAGATTCTGCCATACATCCCTCCCATCTTGCAACCATCAAAACGCTCTCCATGTCTGTGATTCTGTCTCTGTTCTTGTTTGCTTAGTTTGTCTTTTAAATTAAATTGTTGATAGATACATATTTGTTGCCATTAGTTGTTCATAGTTTTGATCTTTTTTTTTCTTAAAGGAGTCCTTTTAACATTTCACATAATAATGGTGAGGTGATGGTGAATTCCTTTAGTGTTTTCTTGTCTGTGAAGCTCTTTATCCACTTTCGATTCTAAATGATATCTTTGCTGAGTAGAGCAATCGTGGCTGTAAGTCCCTATTTTTCATGACATTGAATATTTCTTGCCAATCCCTTCTAGCCTGCAAAGTTTCTTTTGATAAATTAGCTGACAGTCGTATGGGAATTCCTCTGTAGGTGACTAGCTTCCTTTCTTTTGCTGCTTTTAAGATTTTCTCTTCTTTAATCTTTTGCATTTTAATTATGTCGTGTCTTGGAGTGGGTCTCTTTGCATCCATCTTGATTGGGACTCTCTGTGCTTCCTGGGCTTGCATGTCTATTTCCTTCACAAAATTAGGAAAGTTTTCTTTTATTCTTTTTTTCAAATAGATTTCCAATTTCTTGCTTTTTCTCTTCTCCTTCTGGCATCCCTATGATGTGAATGTTGGAACGTTTGAAGTTATCCCAGAGACTGCTTATACTATCCTCAATTTTTTTATTCTTTTTTCTTGTTGTTCTGATTGGTTGATTTTGCTTCCTTATGTTCCAAATCATTGATTTTATTCTGGGCTTCATCCACTCTACTGTTGTCTCCCTGTAAATTGTTATTTATTTTAATTAGTGTACCCTTTGTTTCTGACTGGATCTTTTTTATGCTATTGAAGTCCTCACTAAGTTCCTTGTAGCATCCTTATAACCAGTGTTTTGAACTCTGCATCTGATACATTGCTTCACTCCATTTTGTTTAGTTCTTTTTCTGGAGTTTTGATTTGTTATTTCATTTGGGCCATGCTTCTTTATCTCCTTGTTTTGGCTGCTTCCCTGTGTTTGTTTCTATGTATTGGGTAGAACTGCTATGACTCTTTGTCTTGGTAGCATAGTAGTAGATGTGTCCTGTAGATTCCAGTGGCACAGCTGCCCCTATCAGCTTGCTGTGTATTTGAGGGTGTACCCTTTGTGTGGGCTGAGTATACCCTTCTCTTGCAGTTGAGCCTTGATTACTGTTGGCAGGTCGATGGGAGGGATTTACCCTGGCCATTCAGCTGTACTGACTGACTGTGACCATTGACACCTACCTCCGCTCTCCATGGAGGATCAGCTGTGCAGGGTGGTGGTGCTCCAATATGGTCTGTAGCTGTCCTCTGGGTGCCTAGTCTCTGGGGTTTCCTGGGTGGTGCATGCCAAGGTCAGCCCCCACATGGGTTTTGCCCAGAGCCACCCTACCTGAGCTGTAAAGCTATCTGAGATGGCTGCTACTTGTGTTGCACTTGGAGATTCCGAGGTAAAGCCAAGTTGTGAACCTAGGCTGGCTACTGCTAGTATGGGACCTGGGGCCACTTAGCAAGAGGTACAGGGGCTGGAGGCTCAGTGAGGCTGGCTGTTGCTTTTT